GTCCCCAGGCAAAGAGACCCAAGAGCTGGTGGCTCAAAGGCAGGCTGCCACGCACTGAGTTGTCAAGGAACAAGGAGGTATAGGCAGTGCATCCACATCTGGGCATCTACTGTAGCCTTTCTTTTTCGCTACATAACTTTAACTCACCCTTTAAGACTCAGCTGAAGCCTAGCCTCTTCTGGAGTGCCTTCATAGAACTTCCCTCTGACTTAGCTGGCTCTTGTATATTTCCCAATACAACTTCCGTGTAACTACATCAGATAATCTGTTACCTTCTTCTGTAGTTTTGCTTTTCTATATCATCCACTTTGTGAGCTCCTTGAGGGAAAAGATTGTTGACCTGTATCTTCTTAATGGCTGCACAAGGTAGAGCTCAAGAGATGGTTATTTAACTAGCAAAAATAGTTATAAGAATGACATCATAAGGTAATCACTCAGTGGGTTCTTCTTGCCCACTGCGCAGATAAAACTAATTTAGTGAGACAGCAGTATTGCAGTAGAGAAAGAGTTTAATAAATGCAGGGCTAGCCAAGCAGAGGACAGAAGTTTATTACTCAAATCAGTCTCCCAAAAGCTTGGAGGCTAGGAGTTTTTTGGACAATTTAACAGGCAGGGGTCTAGGGAATGGGTGCTGCTGATTGGTTGGGAATGAAATCATAGGAGTGTAGAAAACTGTCCTGATGCACTGAGCCTCTGGATAGGGTCCTCAGGACCAGTTGAGTCACGAGTCAAAGGTCCCGGTGGAGTCAGTCAGTTGCCAGAATGCAAAAATCTGAAAAACATCTCAAAAGGCCAACCTTAGATTCTAGAATAGTGATGTTATCTATTAGAGCAATTGTAGAGGTTACATATCTTGGGACCTCTGGAACAATGGCTGGTTATTGTTTAACTCTGCCTACATCTTAGTAGAATTCAGGCTTCTCTCATAATCATGACCTTGGGGTCTTTCATTAGTTTTACAAAGGCAGCTTCAGTCCCCAAACAAGGAAGGGATAGTTTTGAGAAGGGTTATTATCATTCTTGCTTTTAGGTTAAACTATATACTAAATTCCTTCCAAAGTTAGCTTGGGCTATACCCAGAAACGAACAAGAACAGCTTGTGAGGGTAGAAGCAAGATGGAGTCTGCTGTGTTAGATTTCTTTCATTGTCATACTTTTTCTATGTCAGATTTCTCTCGTCACAATTTTTGCAAAGGTGGTCTCAATAATAGCAATAATCAGTATTTATTGAATGCTCATTCTATGTGAGCACTTGACATATAATCCTAACCCTAAGAAGTTGATAATTTTATTATCCCTATTTTTCAGATGAAGAAACTGACATATAGGTTTTTATGTTATTTTGGGGCCAAAAGATAACTTCCCCTTTGCCCTCTGAAAGTTCACTAAAAATAAACTGACAAAAGGCAGGTTAATAGCAGAAAAGGCATACAAAATTATTTTAACATGCACAAGCATGGGGAAATCACATGAGAATGATTATCCACTAGCTAAATTGGGCACAGAAGCTTATATATTCTTCTTCATAGGGGAGTGGATAGATGGGGAAAGTAGACAATTTTTTGAAGAGCAATAAATGATTATTAGGGAGAACGAATGGACCCAGGAGACAGAAATTAACTTGTAAATTATTCTCTTTGGAATTTGAATGAGCCCAAGAGGCAGGCATTATCTTGTAAAAAACATCTGTCCAGGTGTGGTTACATTCTCAGCTTTCTTTTCTGCAATAGATAATGAAATTTCAGGGAGAGGATGGAAGGCAATTGTGTTCCTTTTTTGGGGCTACTGTTTGTAGATAGATAAGGAAACTGTGGAGAAAATCTTCACCCTGTGCTTTGGGAGAGACAAGGGATTCAGAGATGGTAGTGAGGGGAAGGTCCCTTATATTTCAGGGTATTCTGGTATTCTTCTTACCCAAGATTTGCATAGTTATATGTTTTTTGTCCTGGAAGTAAACTGATCCAGTCTGAGCCCAGACTCTGAACAGACACTTAACCACTGTATGACGAAATCAGTGCATGAGTGAAACGAATGAATGAATAATAACCCCAAGCCTGATCCTTCCACACACGGGAGTCATTCTGGGATGACGTTATCGGGACAGTCTATATAGTTCAAATATTCGCTTCAATGTCATGTTCTACGTACAGGAAGACTTCCAAGTAGCTTAACTAGAAGCATCAATCCTTCCTCTGGCACCTTTTTAGTAGCACTGACTACCATATGTTGGAATGTATTTGCATGTCTTAGTTTCTTTACTACTGATAAGATTATTAAAAACAAACAAACAAAAAAAAAACTGCTTAAGTTTTTATTCATCTTGGAGTTTTCTACAGCCCCAAACATAAAGCCTTATACACAATAGGCTAACCAATGAGTGTTTGCCAGGTGAATAATGGAAACTTAAGTGACAAGCAAAGGGATCTTTGACTCTTCCTTTATTTTCCCCCAGAAACTGTAGAGACCCTTTTTTATCTCTCTCTCTCAGATTCTGAAGAGTCTGTGGTCGTACAGATTTTAGATGGCTCTGTAAAATAAAATTATATTTAAAGATATTAAGTTCAGGGAGGAATCTACGAAGTTTACTTTGTAACATTTTGGTAATCATTTGGTTAGAAAACTGTATTTCTAAGAAACTGGTATTCTTCCTTCCAAAACTGCATTCGTAGAATGAATTTTAAAAATTATGTAGAAAATCACCAATGTTCCTAAAATATTTCCATGGTAAAAAAAATTACTTCTTTAAAAGTTAACTATAGTTATCAAGAATTGCCTTTCTAAAACCTCAAATGAAAAGCATTTTCTTTTCCACTGACTAATAAATCTCTAATCATCATTGATAATCAATTCTTAGAAGAGGGCCATACCAAGTAAATTTGGCTGGGATGACTAAATTACAAAGCACATATGTCAGAGCAAGTTGCAAATCTTCACTGACTTCCCATTATTTACAAAGGATGATATAGCTAATATGTATAAAACACATAGAAAATAATATAAATTTAATTAAGTGGACATTTCTTTATTGATTATGGTATATAAAATGAATGGCATTAAGTACCAGGGAATATACAGGAACACAAGACCTGGTCTCCATCTTTGCAGAATTTATGATCTGGAGATGGATATTTGAAAGAGAGATAAATTAACATGTAGACTGTGTGATTTTATTATAATAACAGATAACATTTAGCACTTAACAATGTTTCAGTAATTGTCCTAGTACTTTACATGGCATGATCTCATTTAATCCTTACGAAAGCTCTATGTAGTAGGTATAATTATTATCATCCCACTACATAGCTGATGAACCTGAAGCTCAGGAAGATTCAGGTAACTTCTGCAAGACCACATGCCCAGGGGATGGATGGGTGGAGGAGCCAGGATGCAAACCTAAGCCCATGTGTATTTAAAGTCCATACCAAGAAGGCAGTAAAAATAAGGTACATCAAAGAGCACATGATTCATTCAAACTTGGGGAAATCAGACGCTGTGGCACCTAAGCTTGCGCTTGAAGGATGAAGGTGAATAGAGAGGGAGAAGGGCATTGCTAGCAGGATCAAGGCAGGTAGAGGAAGCTGAGGGGGACCTTGAGAGAACAGAGAAGAGTTAAGTGTTGCCATCTATGTAGGTGGTAACATGCGTGTAACAGAGGAGGTGAAACTGAGAAAAGTGTTTGGAACCAGGTATCATTGGCCTTGAGCATTACAGGAAGAGTCTAGACTTTTCTCATTAGGCAGAGGGCAGTCACCGAACCGTCGTGAACCAGATCAGAGCTGTATTTTAAGATTGATTTGGCAGTCACGTGTAAAAGGAGTGAGATCCAGGAGAGGGAAAAAGAGAGGAGCAGTTAGGAAACTGCTAAAATAGCTAAGGCAAATGGCACTGGGAGTCTGAATTTGTACTGCAATAATGTGGGGAGAGAGGACCAAACATAGAAACAGGAGAAGATTTGGCGCTAGCTGATATTTTAGTCCATTTGGGCTGCTGTAACAAAATATCATAGACTCAGTGGCTTATAAACAACAGAAATTTATTTCTGACAGTTCTGGAGGCTAGAAGTCCAAGATCAAGGTGCTGGCAGATTCGGTGTCTGGTGAGGACCCTCTTCCCCATAGAGAGGCGTCTTCTCCCTGTGTCCGCACATGGAGGGAGGGGTGAGAGGTCTCTCTTAGGTCTCTTTTATAAAGACATTAATCCCATCCACAAAGGTTCTTTCCTTATGATCTAATCACCTTCCAAAGGCCTCACCTTCTAATCACCATCACCTTGGAGGTTAAGATTAAGCATATGAATTATTGGGGACACAGATATTCAGAACATGCCACTGGAGGTAGGGAGCATAAGGAGAGAGATGACAGTGTTTCAGAAGTTCAAAAGAGTAAGCATGTCATCTGTAGTGCAGAGGAATCACATGACCTTTTCCAGTTAAAAGGGGTTATATTGGGAGATAAGGGGAGCTAAATAGGAATGGTGCAACTGGTGGGACACTTGAAAGCACATGAGTGAAGGTTGGGATTTCCAAATGCAGCAAAGCAGCACTTTTCATAGTGCGGTGCAGGGATTTGACACATGTCGGTCTATGACCAAATAATGATGTCCATACTTCTCAGATACTTGAAGTGAGCATGCAGACCTTTAACAAAGGTAGAGTATGTGGCAATTAAAGTCTGTGATTTTTAATTGTGAGCAATTGAAATGACTGAAGTGACCATATATAATTTGTATAAGTAAAACAAATGATTGCATATATAGTTTGTTATAAATATAACAATTTTAAAAAGGAAATGTAAACTCTAGGTTTTAAATTGTGCATTAATGTGTATACTGTCTTCTTAACTCAGCATGATAATAAGACAAGAGAAATGCATGCTTTAACAGTCTCTTTTCTACTGATCTGTTATCCTTTTCTTTGAAAGTTTTAATTAATCCATCTAGAACATTCTTGTGTTTCCCACTTTCATATGAATATTTCTTTATTTTTTCCTATTTTTTAACAGATGATAATAATGAAGAAGAAGAGGATGTCGAAATGAAAGAAGATTCAGGTATTAAATTCATTCTTTTATTATTAGGGGGTAAGTAGGGGTCATTTTGTTGTTTATGTACACTTCATATTTTTTCAAAGAAAGACAAAATAAGATTAATAAAATAGAAATATATGCTCAGTGTTATAAAATTTAAAAGTAGTTGTGCTAACACTTAAGGTTAATGCAGTTACTGTATTTAAGGAATAAATTTGACCTTGAGTTTCCTGACAGCCAAGGTAAAAATGGAACATGATGTTGTACTTAATAGAGTTATATAACAAATCGCCCCCAAAACTTAGAGTAAGCTGAAAACAACCACTTCTTATGCTCATGAGCACAGCAGAGATAACTTAATCATTCTGTTCACAAGGTGTAGGGCTCAGCAGGAAGATTCAACAGCTGGGAGCTGGGACCATCTGAAGGTTCACTCACTTGTCTGGCTAGTGATTGATCTCAACTGTCAGCTAAAATATTAGCTGGGACAACTTCCTAAAACACTTGTTCATGACCACTTTATGTGGCCTGGGCTTCCTCAAAGCATGGCGGCCAGCTTCCAAAATGAGTTTCTCCTGGAAAAAGGGAGACACTGTATTCTCAGGCTTAGACATTCCATTGCATCACTCCATGTAATTCTAATTCTTTGGAATAGTCATGAGCCTGCCAAAAGTCAAGAGGAAATGAAAATGGACTCAATCTCTTGTGGGGAGTGGTTCTATAGAGCACGTAAGACCTAAAATATTGCTGTGGCCATCTTTAGAAAATACACTTTCCACATATTATATTTTGTTCTCATTATCAGAATTAAGATGCATGCCAACCTCTCAACAAAGCCCATTTGTTATGAGGAAAATCTAGTGGTTAAATGCACAGGTTATAGCCTAAGGTAGCCATTCAATGTGTCTTTGATAATGAATGCATGAATCAATAGACCTGAATTCAATTCTAGCTCTATCAATTATTGACCTTAGGCAAGTGTCATTTTCTATAAGCCACAGTTTACAATTCTGGGGGCAATAATTCTTACCGTATAGTTTTGTTTGGGGGATTAAATCAGATAACATACCTAAAGTTTCATACAGTGCTTGGACCATAGTAAAGATTCAGTAAATTATTGCTTTTTTCTTTCTCATTCTAACAGATATTAGAAGGATATAGAGCTTAATTCTATGATTAAAAGCTCCTTGTTCCTCATTTTGGCAGTCACAGTGTTCTGACTGTGAAAGAGGTATCTCAGAGGCCCTAATTTTGTGTTACTTCTCATTTGATGCCAGAATTCCCTACAAATCACTGACAGGCTCAGTCTGGGCAGCTCCATCAGCAGGGAGCTCTTTAAATTCTGATGCATTTGATCTCACTACATGAGGTTTGATTGGGGTGGTCCTTCTCTATGTTAAGTTATATCTCTCTCCCTCCCCGGACTGCCCAATATCTTCAAGAGGAAATAACACCAGTTTCTTTTCTTCATAAAATTTCATTGGAACAAGGATTATAGCTTCTATCTACTCTTCTCCAGTCCAAACATGTCTGATTCCTAAAGTTCCCTTGGACTTCCAAATGCAATGGATTCAGAAGGTATGAGAAGTAGAAGCAGAATCTGAAAGTCAGGAGTAGGAATAAAGGAGGTAGAAGAGGAACTGTAGCAGTGGCTGTTGGTGCCCTACTTATGCCTCCTTGGTGCTTGCTTTATTTTACAGCACCAACAGCTTTCCAAGGAAAGTCCTTATGACTGTCTGCTGAGTGCTTTGCTCTCGTCCTGGCAGCAAACTCAAAGCACAAGAGAGTTAATTTCTCTGGAGCAGCCCTCAACCAATAATAGATAAGAGTTGGTTGATTAATACCCACATCTGACGCATGTTCTGTTCCAATGCTGTCTAGTAGAAACATATGTGAGCCTCGAATGTGAGCCTCATGTATAATTTTGAACAAAGTGAAAGGAAGAACGTAAAACTAACTTTAACAATATTTTGTATAACACAATAATCCAAAATATTATCATTTCAATGTATAATCAATATAAAAATAGTCAGATATTTTACATTTTTTTTTTCATACTAAGACTTTGAAATTGGTATGTGTTTTACATACACATCTGAATTCAAACTAGCCACATTTCAACTACTTGTTGGCCATATGTGGCTAGTGGCTACAGTATTGGACAATATTGTTCAGAGGTCTCCAGTAGAACTGAGTCTTGGTTGCTCACAGTGGAATGTACTCATGAACACACCCAGTATTGTCTGCTTTCCTTTTCCTGTCTTTCTTCCCTATTCTTCTTGTGATACTTGCTAAAATCATCTCTCAAATTAACTGCTTAAAACTCAAACCCTTCTATGTTTGCTTCTGAGAGAATATGACCTAAGACAAGGACTTGGCTTGCCTTTTATAAAACATAGAGCTCAAGGTAAAATTTAAATTAAAATTTCAATTCCTATACCCATGTAGAATGTCTTATTGTAAAAAAGAGCCATATGTTTAAAAAAGACTTTAAATTGTCACTCTGTCTTGAATTAACTTTCATGAATTTAATCTTGCCGTTCTCATTTATCTTGCTCACATGAAATGTCCTTGGAGTATCTTTTAGCTACGAGGGATACTGCCCTTTCAAGCACCCAGTATAAGGGCCTTGTCTTGCCATGGATCATTTGCCTAAGTGCTATAAGTACACATTTCTAAACAGAGAGAGTTGGCTTCTCAATGAGATTTAGATAGCTATCCAAACCACTGAATGATTTTAAGGAAATCGTTATTAATGCTAATGGAGAGTCCACAAGTTTGGAGTCAGTGTTTGAGGTTTGGTGGCATTAATTGGATCATCATTTCTGATTTTAGTGCCACCAGGTTTCCTGGGAGTTTGGTCTCCAGCAGCTACATGCAGCTGTTCAAGTCATATTCAATGGCCCAAGGATGCTAAGCCACTCGGGCAGAATGGGCTTGGGAGCTACTCCCAATTTCCTGATACCTGAGTGCTGAAATCATGGAGGATTTTTGTGCTGAATGGTTCCAGCTGGCCTCACCAGACATTGGTGTGCATGATGGCTTCACTCAGATCTCACACTTAAGCATGTCAGTCTCGAAGATGAGTCTGAACCAGTCTCCCAAGGCCTTTAACCGCTGTCTTTCCCCTGCCCTGCATCAATTCTCCTTCTCATTCAAATAGAAAAGCTGGAGGGATTTTTACAAATGCAACTGACACTAATGAAGGGCTACTTGAGTGAATCAACTGGCCAAGACATGCTAGTGAATGATAGTGAATAACAACTTGACTACCTAAACCCACTGGGGTGCTTGTAAATGAACTCTCTGGGTAAGGACAGCCCCAGTGTGAAGAGTTTGCAGATTTCTATGGTATAAACACAAATACCATGATCTTTTTCATGCTTCCAAAGCATGAGGTCAATGAATAGGAGAGCTGGGGAGAGATGGTACAATTAGCTGGTGTGAGCTGGCTCAAGTCAGCCACAGCACAGCTCTGCTGAGCCAGAGTTTAATTGGGCATGTACTTTGTGCCAATAACGTGACACGCATGAACTCATTTAATACACACAGCAATTCTACAAGGCAGGAACTGTTATTATTGAGGCTTAAAAGGGATTAGTTCCTTGCTTAAATAGCAGAACCAGAATTTGAATCCGAGTTTGCCTGACCCCAAAGTTCATGTCCTTTACTTTCTTGCTCCTGTCTCCAGACTTTTATAGTAAGTAGAGGCAGGAGCATTTCAGATGGTATCAGACATGGTCATCTGCAAGGGGAGGTTCTACTCCCATGGGAGGTAGAAGAAGCAGACTGGCTTAAATGCCAAGAATTCTGTGTAAGTCCTTTAATCATCTTCCTTAATCCTTAATTCCTTAATGGCAAATGTCTTCCCATGTCCTTTCATTTCCATGACTGCACTGTTGAAATTAGCCCCAGTCTGAGTCAGCAGGGACGGAAAATTATCAACCACCTATGGAAACTCAACCACATCACAGCTGGATGCACAGTTCAGTCCCTCAGGGGACAAAGCCATGCTCCTGGCAAATCTCCAGGTTTCTACCCTCTGCCAGACATAGGGCAAGCTAAAAAACATGATACATTGTCAAGGAGAAGCATGGGGGTGCTTTTGAAGACAAGCAGAAGCAACTCTCTTCTTCACTCCCCCAGGCCAAGAGGGAAAGTTGTTCCTCCCAAGCCACAAGTAGAAACCTGGACACAGAGGCCTTATGTATCTGTGACTTTCATTTGCATGCCCCAGAACACTTTACCCATGGTGTCATGAGATGATACAATACTGTTTCATATAACATGTTTCATGTTCATATTCAACATGTATGCATGCCCAGTGACCCAAGGAGTGCTCTACAACTTTTTCAAAAATAAAATATTAGTACTTTGGGGGGGTGCTTAGATATTTCAAAATGTAGCACATGGATGTCTTTTTAAATAGTACTCACTGCCCAGGAATTCCTATTCTGGTGGGAAATGAAGACCTAGAAATGTAACTCACAAAAATGCAAAAAGTGATTGGAGAAATGCTGGTTTGGAGTTGAATTTCCAGCATTGGAAACTCTCTTCTTGCTCCCAGTTGCAGACGACATATTGCAGTGACATAGAAGGGTTAGATTTTTCTCCCAGTGAGGTTGCAAATGTCTCTTTGCCCATTGTATGAATCCCTTTGAGCCTAGTATTTGCACTCGGTGAGCTGCTCCAAGCATCTCATTTCTGTTTTTGCTGAACCCATTCCAAAGGTCAACATCCATCTTGCACCTGGTGACAGAAGTTTGGGGGAGTTGCTAATGTAGTCATTGGCAAATTTTTTCACCCTGGCTGTGGTAATAACCTTAGATGTGACTGACTTGCAACCACAGAAAACCTAGCCTAGTGCCCAAAGCTTTGCAGTTTATAATGCCAAAGTTTTTAATAGCACATCTATCAAATGTGGGGTTTTTTTTTGTTCTGTTCCTTTTTTAATAAATGGGAAATGAGAAATGAGTCGCCATAGCTCTGTAATGTAATTTTAGAATCCTGGCATGAAGGCGACAGCTGCTAAGAGAGAATTAGGCAGGGTCCCCATTATATCTTGGCCTTAAAGAAAGGCCTGGGGAAGTGAAAATAAAATCGAATTTGAAATGAAATTCTCAAGGCACTGCTAGGCACCAGGGATACGAGAGGGATTAGGAAAGAGAAGTGCCCTTTTCTCATGGAATTTACATTCTTGGGGATGAGATGAGGAAGGAGACATACGGTAAAGGGATACACCAGAGAGCGAGATAATTTCAGATACAAGTGATGCATTTGAGAGAGATTTCCTTTGTGAGCCTTTAGATTAAGCAGTCAGGGAAGGCCTTGTAGGGAGCTGAATTTGAACTGTGATTCAAAGCGCAAGAAGGGAGCAGACCTATGAATATGTGTGTTGGAGGAGTGGGGGTGAGAACAGCAGGTGCAAAGGTCCTGAGGCAGGAACCAGCCTAGCAGTGATTGAGGAACACAAAGGGAAAGAAAACTGACAAAGCTAGAGCCAAACACAAGTGGGAAGTGAGGCTAGTGTGGTAAGCAGGGCCCAAGTGATGTGCTGTGCCAGGCCTGGAATTGGATTTGGATCTTATTCTAAGCAATGGTTTTTAAACAGGCGAGCAATGTGATCTGGTTTATGTTTCAAAAGCTCACACTAGCTGCTGTGTCGAGGATAGAGTGTAGACAACAAAGAATAGAAGCGGGGAGATTAGAAGACTAGGGGGTTATGAGATGCTGGTGCGGGCTACTGTGGTGATTCCAAAGGTTGAGCACGTTGATGAATATGAAATCTATTTTAGAATGGAGCAGAGAGGGCTATGATAGGATTTGCGATTGCTTCAACCGGAAAAGTAAATGAAGAAAAATATTGAGAATGACATCTCAGTTTGGGGTTTAAATTCCTGGATAGATAGTGATACCATTCCTTGAGATGTGTAATACTGTGGAAAGAACAGGCTTATAAACAGCAAGTATATGATTATATCTGACTTTAAATTTGAAATGCCTGATGAGGTCCTTTACAAAAAATTGAAAGGGCCTGATGGGAGTTGAGTGCAGAAAAGGAAATTATTAGTGCTCTGAAGTGTGGGGCATAGTTAAGTACCAGCCCCAAAGGGACAATGGGAAGGAGGTGGCTACGGGAGCCAAGAGACTTAGAGGGCCACGTGGAGAAGGCCAACTCTAGGGTCTGTAACCTTAGATTGAGGGATACAACCAGCTCATGAAAACCACCAGGTGCCTAGAAAGTAGATGCCCTGAGCTCCCCATTGGCTACATCTAATAGGAAGCCGGAGAACCAGGGAGTTCATTGATGCAATCCAGAAAATTCAGCCTCCCAGAGCACAGTAGGGGTGGTGAAGGATGGAGAGTGGATCTAGAGAGGCAAACAGATATCCATCCCCAAATCCCAAACAAGATGCCCTGTAGGCTGTTGAAGACATAAGTCATGAGCTCAGAAAGAAGATCAGGACTAGATACATAAATTCACACCTAATGAAGTGCGCTATATCCAAATGAATAAACTCGGAGATATTTTCCTGACACTTAATTTATTTGCCCCCATGGATAGACTTAGAGAGGCATTGAGGAAAATAGGAAGCACAGTAATTTAAGTGGGAAATACAGAAGTTGTTTAGAATCTGGATTACTAAAAAACAGTTTGTTAAATAGAAGCAGGGTAATTTCTAGCCCCATTCCTTTCTCCATTCCTCTAGCCCTGCTTTCAGGACTGAGTAAGATGAAATTGCACCATGACAATTGTCAACTAATCTATGAAGATTGAAATCAAACACTCTTGGAGGAAAAATAAGTTAACAGGGTTCCCTTATGGAGAATTTCTAAATTTATGAAAGCACATGTGTAAGATTTTACATTTGTGTGAATCACTAATGCTATCTACAAAAATGTTTTAGCTTAAGCCTTAAGTTTAAGTCTATGTAGATTGGAGAACCACAAGTCCTTGCCAGAATTTCGCTCAGCCATGATGACAGATGAATCTGCAATTAAGATTCAGTGTGTGTGTAGGTTTACTAAGAAGAAAACATTTTTAAATTTCAACATAATTTTGAACCCTACTGGTAAATATTTAAATGAGAATATTAAATCTTTGTGATTCCAGAGGGGTTAGAGCCAAAAGGCCTCTCTCCACCCCACAAGAAGAGCAAAGCAAAGAAGCCAGAATGTTCGAAAGACTCTAGCGAGGGTAAGTCCTGTCCCTCCTTCCTTTAGAAAATTATGCCATGAAAAGAAAATTATATTTAATTTTTAAATTATGTGTATAAACACACTCATGTTCAGATATTCCTAAGGGTTAAAATATCACAGAGAAATTATTTCATCCCTTTCTAATATGTTTGAAGATGAAGAATCAGAAAAGTTTATTTTGTTAAGGTAAAACCCAAATTTTAAAAGTCCATTTTGTCAGTGTGATGTATTTTCCATGTCTGCAAAGCAAAAAAATGTAAGTAGTGCTTACCAGTTACATGTTCCAAAATAGTGTAAAAGTGAAGGTCAAGATTTGCATGTGATGACCAGCTTTGCAACTATTGGCTTATTGGGAAAAATGTTTTTCTGATAAATACATTCTGAGTCTTTCCAGATTCAGACTTCAACAACGGATGCTGGAAATGGTTCCTGTCTTTAGCATTCTCTTTCATTTTCTAGGATCCTACATACCTTTGCATTTTTGCATTGAATGGGCAGGTCCCAATGGACTCAGTTTTATGAAGAAAGGACACGGTCTCTCTTTTACACACTGGTACAACATACAGTTCATTCAAATTTTCTTTTAAAATGTTGATGAGGTGTTCTTTTCATGTGAACCTCAAACCTAAGGGTAGTACAAACTTTTACACTTGATATTAGCCCAAAGGCAGAGAAGCGATAGAGTAGTACAAATTTTTTAAAGGGGGCATATTTACGCCTTGTCCTTCTTGCCTTGAGCCCCACCTCCTCCACTGAGAAATGAAGAGTGTAATAATACTGATGGTGTTGGGTTGGGTCTTGAGGGAAGAAGATGCCAAGATGGAAGCAGAAGTGCAGGATAAAGGTGAGAGAAATGGGCGATGGAGCAGGAGCAGCTGAAAGGGGAGAAGAAAAGAAGGAGGCTTAGCTAGGAAGTGCCTCAGTCTGCAGTGCAGTCTGGAAGTCCAGAGGAGTCCTGCACTGGACGGGAATAGCTGGGCTCTAGGGTCTCGCTTTCCCATGCTCAGTCACTGGCTGCAAGTAGTTTTGGGGAGAAAGTGGCCGGCCTCAGCAGGAACACGGTGCCACGGGGGTCCTCAAAAGTGTGGCTGCTGGGCGCTGTCAGCTTATTTATCTCCTAGCAGCAGGTCTCACTTGAACTCTTGAGCTGCTCACGTGCAGGACTGCACAGTATCCCTGTGAGTGCTGGGGCTTCCGGTGCTAAGTAATAATGCTGCTTTTTCACCTTTCTGGGAATTTAGAACCAATCGAGAAGACAAAGCTGAAAGAAAGGTGGAAATCAAAGCATTAGCTTGATTACTAATGTGGTTAGGCCAGAGCATCTGGCTGCCCTGCCCCCAAACAGACTTCCTAATCCTGGATTTCAGCTGTAAATGGGAAAGCTTTAATCACTGTTCCCTCACAGGCAAGTGCAGAAGTCCTCAGCTTCCTAGACCAAGGCTGCCCTGGTCAGCTTGTTATAGGACGAGCAGACCAGGAACACGCCTTCTCTGTAGGCAGGTGGGTCTGAGAGAGACACAAGATAGGACTGTTTCCTTCTCCCAGGCTTACTGTAAGTGAGGAGAGGTGTAGAAAGGCACAGAAGTAGATGTGGTCCCTCCTCTAGACAAGGAGCGAAGGATGAACGTTTCCTACTGAGAGTAAAGAACAGAAATAGCATGTGTACTGGCCTAGCACCGGCCTGGCCTTCAGCCAGTGATGGCTGTTATTATCAGTATCATAATCATGGCCATGGTAGGGTATGCACTGCCCTAATTCAGTGAAATGTGCTTGAAAGTTTAAAATTGTTCGGAGAAGAACACTTAGAACCAGGGAAAAGGCCAGCTGCAATAATTCACCCAAGATGTTCAGCTTTGTTACTGCCTGGTGGGAGAGTAGCAGGGGCTTCCAAATCTCCTGTTGTAGTTCGGTCATTTTCTAGACCATCTCTTAAGGCCACACTTGGGTAATGAGCTGGGGCAAAGCAACACTCACCTTTCCCCTAGAGAAACTCTACCTCACCAAATGATTCCCGCCACATCCATAACCTATGTCAAAAGCTGTTTTCCAGAGCCTGAGCCTGTTATCATTTCTGAGCCTCACGTAACGGCTATTAAGCTGTAGCAGTTCTTCCACCTTTAATTAAAGAAGGGAATTCTTCCAAGTTACTCCTTCCAGTGTGTGAAAACTTCATTTACTTCCTAAATCAGTTGCTTTGTTTAAGAACATCATTCCCCAATCCTAATGATTCAATAATACAGCTTCACCTCCTATCATTATGTGGTCTAACAATCTGCTCTGAATCATAAAGATGAAAATGTGGTAACTGGATTTGCTAGCAGGGACATTCTGTCTGTGGTGAAATGTGAATGTGAGGCACTCTCCGGAAACATGGGAATTGTGCATTTGTTCCTAAGAGGGCTTCAAAGACAAATAAAAAAGTGAAAATGGCTGGGCAAGGAGTGAGAAAGGGAGCACCATCGGGCAGGCAGCGGTGGATGATTCCATGATGTGCTGTTGTGCTGAACCCCTCCCACCTTTAGTGGGGATGACACCAGGTTCGAGAGGCTGAGGAAGAGCCCCAGAATCACTGAAAGAGACATGGGGTTTTCCTGGGGGCTTTCATACAGGAGAGAGAGCCTGGTGGCAGGAGCCTGGGCAGGAGGACCACAACCACTTATAAAAAACATGCAGCGACAACCTTTCCTTAACCCAAGACAAAGGGCCTCCATCCCTTGTACAACCTGAGTTCCACAGTATGGGCTGGGGGCTCAGATGTTCCCTGTAGATAAGAATCTCCAGGTTGCCACTCCTGGATTCTAGTTGAGACCTTCGAACCGCATGGAGGTGCATCCACCACATGGTTCATTCTCAGGATATGCTTAAGTGATTGCTATCAGTTGGTTTACCACACTTATGGCACTTATTACTTATCAATGTTTCTATTTTGACAAAATAACCTATGTCCCTGAATTCATGCATTGTACTCTTGCATGTGTTCCATTTCCCATTATGATACAAAGAGTTACAATCATTCTTTCCTAGTGGATATGCAAATGAAATCTGGTATCACTGGAAGAGGGGCAAGTTTTAATGCTGACCATTACTCTTCTCTCTAGATCTTCTTCCCAGCTTAGAGTTATCCATGTTTTTCTAGCTTGGTCATTTCATATTTTTTTAGAAAGAGAAGCTCCTGGTATTTTTATTTATAGATCACTCGGCTTAATGCCCCAACAATGGGCCCCATCTCTCTTCTCTCCTTCTTTAGGATTCCCTGGCCCACTTCCCACCCTCACAGGTACTACTGATGTCCTCCTTTTACCTGATAACACAGATTTTCAGAAAGGGTTACAGAAAACAAACTCACCTAGATTTTCCAGCATATATAGTCATAATAACTGTATTTAGATTCAGAAGAAAAATTTCAAGAACATATGGTCAAATTTTCTCATTCTACAGAATTTTTTAAAGTACAGACTGCAAATGCTTCGTTAACTTGCCCAAGTCCATGCAGTTTGTTAATGTCACAATCTCTTCTTTTTTTTTTTTTTTCTCTAGAAAAAACACAGCTTCTGAAATCCTTTTCTCTTTCTCTTTCCTGGAAATTAGAACAAATTTTTTGAAGGAAGAAATATTGTCAACATTATAACCTTGAGTTAAGCATTATTACTTTAGTAAACATCTTGCTGAGATATTGAACATCAAAATTAAAACTCAATTTCTAAATGTATTTATTTGCATTTTTATGCTGTGTACTTTTGAATATAGTGGTTTTATTATTTTAATTAAAATTTCATGAACCACTGTGTACTTTGGTTTCACATACACTCAACACCATACCAATAATGAAATTATTAGTAATTTCAAACTACTAATTGATTGGCTGTCATCTGCTATAAATGATAATGCTGTCTATGAACTAGCAAGGCATAGACAGAATTGTTTGGAAAAAAGTCTGGTTAGTACCAGTTGCATTAATTCTAACTCCCCATAATTTAGATCTTTTTTTTTTTTTCTTACAAAAAGTTGAAAGAATATTATTGCAGAAAACTTAGCACCTTTAATAAAGCATACTTTTCTCACACTTCTTCCTTTGTCTTTCAGAAGTAAATGCTCTACAGGTTCCTTTAGTGAAAGTCTCTCAGGACTTATTTGCCTGAAAATGGTATTATTTTGCATTATTCTTTTAAGGCAGTATTGGTGGGTAAAAATTTGAGGTTGATGGTTATTTTCTTGCAACATTTTGAAGTTGTTTTCCTGTAGTTGTTAAGGAATATTTCAGTTTGTTTTTTGCTTCTTTTAAGCTGATCTGGTTTTCCTTTCTGTCTGCTTTGACAATCTACTCATTATCTTTTGTGTTCCATAGTATCACTATGATGTGCCTAGGTATAGATTCATTTTTATGTATCCTCTCTTAGAATTTGCTGTACTTCTTAGATCTGGGAATGGGCATCTTTCATTAGTTCTGAAAGACTCTCACATACCACTTCACCAAATATCACTTCAATCTATTACTTTCTATTCTTTCTTTCTCTGTTCTTCATGACTTTTAACCCATATCACATTTTCGTCCTCTGTGTCTCTTCTCTCTATGATGCCTTCCAGTTAATTTTTTTCAAGTCTGTCATTTAACTTGCTAATTTTCTATCCAACTGTATTTAATCTGATGTTTAACTCTTCACTGAATTTTTAATTATAGTTTTCTTTTTTGATACATTTTATTTGGTTCCTTTTCAAATATACATGGACATTTTTTATTTAATTAACACATAAAATACCTTTAATAATCTGCATCATAAATTTTAATATCGCTAGTGTGTACAAGTCTGATTCTGCAGTTTATTGACTCTGCAAACTTATGCACTTGGTTATTTCCTTGCGTATTTTGCCTTTTTGATGATCATGTTCCTTGGATTTTTACTTATGGAAGATTTTTTGATGTTGCTTTAAGAGCTCATTTATTTACACTTGGTTTTCTAAGATACCTGAAGATACCACCTTAGCAGTACCTTAAAGTAC